GTGACGACAAACAGTGGGTGTGTGAGTTTCTGTGTGTGTGTGTGTGTGTGTGTGTGTGTGTGTGTGTATGTGTGTGTGTGTGTGTGTGTGCGTGTATGTGTTTGAAGTTTGAGTGAAAAAACACGTGTATTTTGCGCTTTAATTTTTGTTAAACCTATTTAATACCTCAAAACATCAATAAAATTTTGCTGATGTACATTTATTTAGAGAGATTTGAGCTTTTGCAGAGAGAAAGAATAATGCATTAGCGATTCTTTAAAGACGCGTTGAGGCTTGCCGTTAATGCGTTGGACACCGTCTGAAGCACTTTATCAGAGCAAAGTTGGGTACTAAAGCAATAAATCGGTCGGCCACATCAAGCAAACGATTGAGTTTGCTCTTTTCACGTGAGACTTCTCAACAAAAGGACCGAATCAGCAACATTTCAATGCAAAACGTCCCATAAGTCTCCGCTTGCTTCTGCTCATATGCTTTGTAACTAAACTTCCTTATTGCTTTCTCTTTTTGTTGCGCTGTTTTTTGCTTATTTGCGTGCACTCAATTGTGAAGTGTTTGCATGAACTAGATTGGCAATTTGGATGATATGCGATCCCCGTTCGTATCAGTTACAATGCTTCTCTCATTTTTGGGAACGCTATTAAAATTATTTTCTTCAATAGTTTCAGGTTTTTATGGACACTTTTATTGTTTAATAAATAATTCAACAGTATTTTTTTCTAAATTTAAATTTTGTTGATTAATATAAAAATATTGTTGTCTAAGAAAAAATAAATTCTCAAATGTTCTGGTCTCTACTTCAACATTTAACTGTGACTAACGCAAAACCGCTTACATGTTATTTTAAACTTTCGTTCCCGAAAGGCTATCCACCCACAACACACGACGTATATACTACATACACGTAATAAGTTATGCATGCACGCGCAAGCACTGCATCATGCCTTTGTCAGAGCCGGAAGTTGAAGTTGAAAAAAAGTTGAAGTAGATGCCAGAATATTTTAGAATTTATTTGAGTTTCGGACAGACAGCATTTGAACCAGACCAACACGTAACTGCACAAGACATGGCACTTCTACCGACTGAGTTAACTCATCGACCAACTTCTTTACAGTCAGAAAATTTATAAAATTTGTGTGCAAAAGCTACAGGACGGTCAATTTTTCTAATTAGATTGTTGTAATTAAATGTTAAATCACTTAGCAGTTGATAGAGTTGGCGTTATTATTTTAACGTTATTTATTTTAGTGAAAAGTTTTTAAATATGTTATCGCACACTACATTAATTTTTGTAAAGAAAATTAATCTAGTTTTTACGCTGCTTAAGTTAAACAACATTTAAACTATCTACCCTATCTACTCTTCAACTTAACTCTCATTACTTCTCAACTACAAGTTTCAAAGCGCTTCTTACAACTCTCTTGCTTGTCTAATTCATTGAAGAGTGACGTTGAACACCATGATAAATGCTCTGTACAACTGAATAGATAGACTGGTTGGTTAGAAATTTTTGTTTTTAGTTATTTGTTTTAATGTCATTGTTAATATTTTTCTGATTTTCGACAAATGTAACGGTTAACAAACAAGCAAGAACAAAGTTTTAAATCTACATTCAGTAATCCAAGGAAGTTTATGATATTTGACAGTTTTTTCCTCTAGGTTTAGGCATCTCATTTTAAACAACTCGCAGTTTTCATTTGTCGAAGATGGCAGCACAGCATATTTGACCTCAAGTCATGTTGTGTCATGGTGTGTCGTGACGTGGCGTGTCGTGACGTGTCGTGTCATGTTATGTCGTACCGGAGAGAAATTTAACATGACGTCTTTTTTCTGACCGCCTCTACTAGTTCATATCTTTTTTTTCTATTTTCAAATGTTTAATAAAAACGTGTGCCAGGAAGCAAAAACTTTTTAAACGTGTCTTTTAATTTTTTCCGGAATCACCGTTTTGTTAAAAATCAGTTTCAAAAGAATGTTGTAATCAACTTATAATAATTATTTCTGCATAGTTTCATTGCTACAACTTCTAACACAATGAACAATTGAAGGCGGAGTAATAATAACTTCTTTATTGAAATAATGGGAATTATTGACGCAAAAACTTCAGCGCACATCACACCTTTGAAGTTAGGAATGAAAAAATATATTGCCTTCCACTCACTGGTTGAGGTTTGAATTTTTACTGTGATATTAGCATTAAAAATTATTTACGAATATATAGCTATACTAACTTTATAATGATTCTTTATGAATATATAAATAAATTTTATGAAATTTTTATGTTGATATCAAAAACAAGTCATTAACACATAGCAAATTAATTCAAGTTGATGAGATAATTAATAATTTTGAGTGCACGTCCATAGAAATTTCAAAATTGGTGAAACATCAAAATTGATGACATTTGTTCAACTCGAATCATTAGTTATAAATTCACTGATGAGAACCAGTTACTACATTTGTAATGGATGATACACTTGGCGTTGGCATCAGTTCGTTTGAACAGCAAATTGAAATAAAAATAAAACAATCGGAAATCAGATTTGTGATGAAATGAGATAGTTCTCTGTGTTGTTGTTGTTGCAAATCAGATAAGTTCACATTTGATTATGTTCATTGTTCTGTCATTTGTGCATCTTTCAGGCAACAAACACATGGCTGTGCCTGAACGACAGAACGCAGCTCAGAGAGAGAAAGAATATTCAAAAGATTGAACGAATGTATCCGAGATGAACGAATGAATTTGTACAAATGGTTTTGAGACACACCACTGTTGTCGTTTGCTCGTGTGACAACCAACAATCATGAAGAAAAATTGAAATTGCTCGTCGAACAAACCAAAATCTACTTCGCAGTCTATTGAGATGATATTGAAGTCAAAACTCGTGTATAATTGCTATGCTACGGTTTAAAGATTTTATAAAATTCGTATAATTTTTTGTAAAAAAAATATCAGTTTAGGCTTTCTAGAAACACGTCAAAAAGTTTGAAATGAAAAACACGAACAACTACGCTGTAACTTATGTTATAAGATAACAAATGAAAAGTTTTGTGATATGGTGATGATTTTTGAGAGAACTTCAAAAAATGAAAAATTATTTTTGAAGCTTCAGAAGACTGAAATGTTAAAAAAGTGAAGCCGGTCGGTCGGGGCAGACATAACAGCTGTTGCGTCTGACACTGCCACTGCCAACAAAATAACTAAAAGCCGGGCCTTTATTAAAATCCGCATGCACCCATATTACAACTCATCAATCATATTTTGACAGTTTCGCATTTGTTCAAACAAATTTTCTACTTTTATTAATTCCGTTGATTTATGGTTTCCAAAATTTATGTCAGTGGATTTGTTAGATCTTATTGGGCTATTAATTAAATGGAAAATAAAATTTAATAATTTATTGAACAAAATGTAAATTTGAAAATATAAATGATGCATAAGTATAAAAATAAACAAATGAATACATAAATATATAAATAAATAAATTCCTATGTACATACACACACACTCACACACACACACACATATATATATATATATATATATATACATATATATATATATATATATATATATATATGTATGTATTTATAGATTATATGTAAATGTTTGTGTTTGTGTAGGCGTGTGGTGTGTATGTAGCTTTCTCGGTTAGCATTTGAAAATATTTTCAAATTTAATGTTGGAATAATATTGCGTTTGTATGAAAATTTAATTAATATGAAGGTAGATTGCATTCCTAAAACACACCAGCAAAGCAGAAATGAATGCAGCGGGGCATACGCACGCATACGTACACGCATACATTCACGCATAAATACACGCATACATACACACAGACGAGGAACTAGAGAAGCACACATGACGTTTAACAGGCATTGAAAAAGAATGATGCTACTATTGAAATTTTCATAACCATTCGTGAACTTGATTCTGTACAAATTTCAGTTGTGCTGTTAAAAAACAAAAAAAAACCAAAGTAAAGTAATGTAGAATAGCTGGATAGCATGCTTTAACACCCATGATCTAGAGAGTGCTTATAGGACTTGACAACAGTAATCACCCTTATAAGCTGTTCAGTTTGTGACCAAAATATAAGACTTATCGCAATGTTAAAAAAGTTGTAAATTATTTCGCGTTGGAACATTAAAAAAATATGATATCTTTGCAAAAATACGATAAAAATTGAATCGTGTGTGAAAGAAAGCGAAATGTGAAAGCTGGCAAACAATAAGGTCGTTTAATGCGATGGAGACCAGATTATTACGAAACGACTTTTGTATAAAAATAAACAAAATACTTGCCATGGTCGGTTGTACATGCGTTGAATTAGATGCAATGAAATACAATGTCCTAACTTTCATCCGTCATGCGATGGAACGCATGCAAATGCCACGTAATATTCATCTTTCATAAACTTTAATAGGATTTTCATTTTGCGAAGGACGATGTACAATGATTTATTTGCATTTAAAACAAAAGTGCATTTGCATTTAAAACTTTTCGTTCGCTCGCATTTAATTTCCATTCATTTTTTTACTTGCGCATACAATTGCATATAATTATTAAAAGCAGATTTGCTGAATGCAACGTAGTATTAATATTTCCTGCATCATTCGTATAAACATTCAGAACTCCTTTCATGGCATCTATTCTTGATGTTACTAGGCAGAGGCCAACACAAATGATTAATACCCAAATTCTTTGTATTATAACTTTTGCTCACTTTACTCGAACTTTCAAAACAAGTTCCAGAAAATCTCGGAGTGTTATGCGATGGTTTTGAATACATTTGCGCGTGTTGATGAAGGTGGTTATAATTTGCATGCTGCTGCTGACGGTAGAAGCGATGAACTTCATGTAGATTGTTGTCGTTACGTCTACTTGTTGAAACGTTTTTCCTGTACAAGGAGCGTTCGTTCCTCTTGAAAATTTGGAATTTGTTTTCTACTTGAAAGGGTGATGGACACAAGTTGACCATCCACTCACTCTTGCAGTCACATTTTATTTCATTTCCTATCAACGAAAGTGATTTCAAACGAATTTTTTTTGGGAACAAACATCTAGCGACTGACGACAACTTGTTGTAATCAAACGTCAGATGGCGCAGTCGAGTTGTCGCCCAGAACAATTTGTCAGGTAGATTGGTCAAATTATTGTTTGATAAGTTTAAATCTTGCAGATATTTTAAAAATAAAAATGCATTACCTCTGAGCGAATGAATCAAGTTTTTTGATATCCAAAGTTGAGTTAAACTTTTTAATCCCTGAAACAATTCTTCGGGCATGTGATTGATCTCGTTGCTGTTTAGCGACAATAAAGTTAAATGTGTCAAACTGTTAAATGCACCAGGAAACAAGTTTTTGAGTTGGTTATTATCGAGAACGAGAATTTTTAATCTACTCATGAACGAAAACGTATCGCTATGAATTGTTTTTATTCGATTGCCACTTAACGTCAACACTTCCAATTCGATGAGATGACGAAAGGCCAACGAGCTGAGATGTTCAATGCTGTTTCTATCCAACTCGAGTCGTTTCAAGCTCCAGAGACCTGCCAGCGTGTTGTTGTCCAAATGTTCAATTCTGTTACCCCACATCACTAGCTCACGAAGATTTTTCGCTTTTAAGAAAAATCCGTTTGAAAAATGTTCTATCAAGTTTCCCCAAATATACAAGCTCTGCAGCTGATTAAGACCTCGCAAGAGATTTACAGGCAACTGTTTCAATCGACATGCTCCCAGATGGAGTTCTTGCAAAGTGTCCTCTAAACCAACAAAACTGTCTTCACTTATATTGTTTCCAATCAGGTTATGGTTTGCCATGATGATTTGAAACTTTGTTTTATAAAATTGATACGAGTTAAGAGAGGATATAAACTGTTTATTAACGTTCAAAACGCGGTAAACCAGTTTGTCAATTAAATTTATTTCAATGTTTTGACGAAAGCTGTTGTGTTTTTTATCACTTGAAAAAATATTCGCAGAGAGTAACTCAAACGTCGATTGGTGCTGGTCGAACGATGGAAATTCAACAAGGCCGCCTGTGCACTTGATTTCCAGCGAGGTTGAACAGTGACAAATAATTTTGTTGGACAGTCCTGGAGCGTATCCATCATAAACAGTCACGTGACTACTTCGCTTCAGTTTCGCAGTGTAGTTTTGTTTTATAGTAACTTTTACGGAATAATCCTCGTTGTACATGCGGCAGTTGAACTGACCGGTGTTCATTAGATGAGGTGGTTTCGTGGCGGGCTGCTGAAATTTTTTGCTAGAGATTTCATAGCTGCTGGGATTGAAGTTCTTGCTAAAGTTGACTCTTGTAAATCCATACGCAACACGATTCCCAATCAATTTTTTCTCGGTAAAATTCAAAATAACAAGAAAAAGGAAGAAATGTAAGGAACGCAAGAAAGGAAGGAGAGCTTGCTTCGAAGACGAACAGGATGCAGGCAGGAGACGTCTAACTGTGAAACATTGGGCCATCACGCGATATTACAATAATTACATTTTCTTGTCAATTCTATGTTGTTGTCGATTTTTTCCAATTAATTCTTTTTAAACAACTAAAATTATTATAATTTCATCCTTAAATTTGATTGATAAAAATTATTCAGTTTTAAAGATCAAAAAGTATTTTTTTTGACAAACAATTTTTAAAAAACATTTTAATGAATATAAAATTATTTTAATATGCACACAAAAAAAATAGCCTAAGAACGTGAAATTTAGGAAAACAACGTTAACTGCACTGATTATCAACTGCCTCTACAAACATTTCCACTCACTGCTACTACCACCACCACGATTCCAACGTTACTCTCTCTTTCTCTCTCTCTCTCTTTCTCTCTCTCTCCCTCTCTCTCTCTCTCTCTCTCTCTTTCTCTCTCTCTATATATATATAATAAACGCATGTGTGTGCGTATATATATATATATATATATATATATATATATATTAGTTGAACTATTTTTTCAATCAAAAACAATTATTGTTGTTATTAAATTAAGAATCAATTATTCGTTTCGTGGACATGTTCTCTTATTTGAGAACGTAAGTATGAGCAGGCATTAGTACACATACACAGACGCGTACACGTATAAACACTGTATACATAATATAGATGACAATAATGCAATAATTCATGTGAAAAAATCTTGGCGTTTTCAACGTCGTCTTGTTGGTAATTAAACTTTTTCAATCTTCTTACTATAGTTTTTTTTTCATCTAGGTGATACAAAAATGTATTAATCCTTATAACGGGTATCTTGTAGTTTTAAATTAAAAGCCTTTTTCTACATCAGTGTAATATATACGCTTCTGTGGACTAATTGTTTTGTTGGTTCTTTCGTTTCGTATTCCTCGGCTCGTTGTTTGTATATCTCGTGTTGCTAGTGTCGTTGTTGTTGTTGCTGATTATTATTAACTGTATTATTATTTGGGTAATGTTCTAACTGTATTATTTGGATGAGGTGATGTTTGATGAATGGTTTAAATTTGTATATGAGTAGAGATTATGATGATTTGAGTTCAAAAAAGTGGTTGTTGTTTTTATTTGCAATAAATAACGTTGCCTGTTGATGTTCAGACTGTTGGGCTGTTTTTGTTAATGTTGGTAATCGCTGGTGTTTGTTCAAGTAAATTTTGTTGTTCGTTTATTTTATAATAACATTCTCGTAATGAGAATATGGTAATATAACAATGTATTTGGAGTTTTGTTTGGTGCTCACATTTTCAATAGTACATCTGAAAACCTACCAGATGAGTATGATTTAATATTGAGCCGGGTTTGAAAATTTATGTTTCAATATTTGGAATGATGTTTCACGGTAAAAGTAATAGATTCTAAATTTGTATTGGTCGTTTGCCTACACACGACAACATTCATCTTCCGTACTATATTGCAACGTCAGGAGTTAATACCTCCGGTGTCAAAAAATAGTTTGATGTTGAATCACTGAATATCACAATTTTTTCCACAGCGGCATGGCAACAACTAGTCAAGACTGATGTAAATTGAGTAAAATTATAAAAGCGAACAAACTATCAACTTATCAAACTCTGTGATGTAAACTATGGTTTTGTTTTGTTGATAATAACTCTTCATGATAACTCTTCATCGCCCACAAATGTTTTTTTTAAATATTTTGTTTTGTATTTTCAAATCTTCAGATCAGATGATTTCTATTTAGACCGATCGTATTATATTCACGTTTAGATTACTGCAACAATTTGTTTTATATGATCTGCCTAATGAATCTAGGCTAGAATCTAGAATCATCGCTAACTACTTCAATCAATTGAAAATAGAGCTCACATGATTGTTGTTAGTGACTTTGTTCAGTCAGTAGACAAAGACTCTGTAATTTCCATTGGTTGAATATTGAAAAATAAAATCTTTGTATAATGTGCGTTTCAATGTTCAAGGCAGTCAATTAACTTTTTTAAGCAATATTTGTTTGATAAACTTAAAAAAGGTCAGTAGTTTCAAATAAATTTGGCTTTGATGGCAGTTAATAGTATAATTTGCACCTTATATGCGAGGCAAAAAACGTTGCTGAGTTTCTGTGCCCTGGATAATGAGAGATGCATAAGAGAATCTTTGAGAATTTCATAAATAAGAATTTATCAGTGCTTTTTCAGTAAAATTTAAATTGTTATTTGCATTCATGTTGATTTGTTCAATGTTCAATATTTATTTATTGTTTAATTTTCAATTTATTATGCTATTAAGCCACTCTTCGTTCTAGAACACAATAATCAACGTATATGTTTCGCATATAAATATTTTGTACGTGTCATTTTTTGTTCCTTCGTAGAGGTTCCAGCTTGTTTGAAATCCATCCTTGTTTTCTCGTGAAGAAACAATTGCATGCTCCTGCTGAGAATATAACTGCACATCTAATTTTGTCTCTTTACTTTATATTTTCTGACGCCACTCTTTACCGCACTCACACTAAACATGGATGCGTGAACGCCAGCAAATTATTTGAAGCTCCGTGCGAACATTTATGCAAATATTTACTGAACCATAAAAGAAAGAGAATCGTCAAAATAGTGGAGTTCTTTTATGTTAAACGATGTACGAAATGGATGAAAGGCATTACAATCAGCCCACAAATTTAAATAAATTATTAGAATCTTTAAATCTTGTTGATATTTGTTCAAATGAAACCTACAGTCTTTGAGTCGAATGTTTAAATTAGCTGTTACGTTTTTAGATGTAGAAAACATAAAAAATGAGCTATTTGCGTGATGAACGAGACTAATTATATGCACTTCTGTTCAATTTCCAGCTCTGATAACGAACTCAATTCAACTTACTCAATTTTGTTTTGTATCAAAAACTATTCAGTTTAATTGTTAGTAAAGTGAACTCTGCTGATAAGTTTCGACAGAAAAATTGTTAGCAAGTGATTTTTTTCTTATGTAAGTTAAAAACCCAACACCAGATAAACTTTTCAACAAATGTTGGAGAATAATTCTACAATTTTCCTACCCGTTCTATATGACAAAATTACAAAATTAAATGATAATAGTGATTTTTTATAAAGATAAAAAACTTCAAATCTTTTTTAATTTTTGATTCTTGAATTTCAAAGTTTTCAAAACACTTTTCAATATTTTATCATTTCATTCAAGATGGTTAAAATTTTTTTTACTTTTTTTAGATTTATTTGGAAAAAATGAATCAATTCAGAATTAATTTTAACCGGGAATTTGTATTTTTATTTGTTTTAAATTTTAGAAAAATTTATTCAATGCTAATTTTAAAAAATATTGTCTTATTGTTAAATAATGGAAACATAGTCAGAATGAATTTTAAATGTACAAACAACACGAAAAATTACATCAAATGCAAAATAATGCGTAAAATTTAATAAGAAATTTATGAAAAATTATCCACAACGCATTCGATATAGGTAAATGTGCACAATAAAATGATTTGTTGACAACTTAAGCGTAATAAAATGAACATCTCAACAAATCGCTTGTTGAATCACATGACACTTGTCTGACGTGATAAGTACTGCGTAGGTATTTCTTAATAACTTTTCACTGACACGGCTTAATATTTTGTAACTTTTTTTTTGAGTTTGAATATTCGCAGCATAAAAATTATCACATTCCATTGTTTTCATCTTAAAAACTCCACCAAATGGAAAAACGAACAAACAAACCAAAAAATGGATACGACTTTTCATCATTAACTAAGAGATAAGGGAGCTCGATGGCAGGCAGATATGATTGCTTCATACTTAATTGAAACGTTTTTCTTGAACGAAAGTGATGGCCTATGCTATCGCGCTTCTGATGAACGACAATGATGCCGACCATGCCTGCAGTGCCGTCAATCTGTCGTCAGTACAGAATAAAATCTGAACGCTTCAGTGAATGCAAATTTTTTCTCAACAATATTTCGTACTGAATTTTATTTATAATAAAGCAGAAAATGTGTAACAACAAAAACAAATGCACAAAATAAACGAAATGTGAGATTTTTTTTGAGAAATAAAATTGTATCGTCCACTAGCAATGAGCCTGTGGACTGTCATGAAAACTTTGTTTATCGTAGCAAACACGTTATTAGCACTGCACAATTACCAGGTTGAAACCTGAAATCTCCCGTACACAGTGTATGTATTGCGTTGCATTCATCCGCATAAAGACACATACATGCTTGCGTACGTACGTATATCTGCAAATTGTATTCTTTCGTGCATAGGCACGTATTAGAATGAATATTGGGTAGATAATCACTA